GAAAGTGCTAGCCACGCTTCAGAGCTCGGGCGTAATTCATTGCCCCGGGGACAGGCGTTGAAGAGGTTCTCTGCAAACCTTAGGGACATAAGCATCTCTGGGTGAACATATCCAAGGTAAGAAAAACAAACAAGTGCCAGGAAAAATAACCAAACTTAATTTTTCTGAACTGTGATTGTCGGCACAATACATATGTGTGTGATATTGACGACTGTATTTAAATTTAAAATTGTTTTAAACAAAACATACAAAATAGAGAACACTTTCCTTTTAGCATTTTCTTTTACAATCTGTTAACTTTTGTTTTGGAACCAGAAATCTGCAGCTTTTCCTCTCACACCGACTCTTCATTGTTAAATCTTGTATCTAGTTCCATGTGAAAGCTGAATTCAGCCTTCGCTAGTGCTAGGAATGATATTAGTTTCGCTTTAATGAAAAGTCTAAAAACAGGTATTCTCAAGGATTTCAGAAAATCTTTGCACAACCGCTGGGATGTCTGCAGGAGTCTGGCGCTGCAGAGTCACAGTCCCAAGCTTTCCTTCACAGGTCACGCTGTGGATCATCTTTTACACTCTAGGTAGAATTAACAAAGGCCCTCTGAAGCGGGGGAGCGTCTCTTCACAGCATCTAAAAGCCAGAAGCCACCCTGGGTAGTCAGTTTTCGGTGTATCACAATTTCCCTGGCCGCTTCAGGCCACCAGTTAACACCTCCAGACACTAATTCCAGCTCCGACAAGAGCAGGAGGCCAGAACCACCTGTTCTCCATGATGTTTTCACAGCTGCCTTTGTGGGGTAATGTCCAAAGTGCTTCTCAACCCAAAGGCCAGTTAATGAGAACAATCTTTGCTGCTTAGCATAAACAGATTTTCTTCCCTCAGAGGATGTGAATGAATTCAACAATTCTCCTTCGCCTTGGGCCATGACCAAGCCTCCCAACTGTGTGCGCCGAGCACATTGCTGGTTCACGTGTCCGATTCACCAAACCACGCAGAACGTGTGGCCCTGGCCCCAGGAGGGGACCCAGCTTACAGGTGGCTGGCTCCGCGTCCAAGACAAGTTCCATTTTTATCTTCTAGCAGAAAGCAGTTCCCACTGAATAATCCTAGTGTGTGGGTAGACGTGTCCTTACCTAACTTGCCATGTGGAGCTGAAGTTTTACTGCAAGTCCGATATTAGCCCCATCTCTCCCAGGAATGGGGCCACATTAAGTTGTTGGGAAGCTGCCTCTCTCACTAAGATGAATTTCTTAATTACTTCCTGGTGTGTGCCTGTTGTGGGCACATTGTCCAATATTTTCAATCAGATAAAAATGCTCAAACCCACACCGAATAAATAGAGCTAATTATTACGTCCAAGATTACTAAATATGGACCCTCATCAGCTGCGATCGCAAATGTCACCACATTTAAAACTTTCTTCACACACATTATCCTTCCACTTCCTTGCTGTATTTACAGTGCATTGAGCAGAGTGTTTCTGGTTGCACTTAACATTTGCACGTGTCTCTCTCTTTTCAGGACACACAATTTCCGCTGCATTCATTAGAGGCTCTTTTACAACTTGCTATCTGTGAAGAATTCCATGTCCTGGGCAGATTTTTCACCTAAATACACAACTACTCGCTTTAGAACAACCAAAACAAACCTTCTTGACCTTTCCATCCGCTCTGCAGCTCAGTAGGTTTTGATCACACACCTCCCTGCAGCCCTGGTCCGGTTCTCACACAGCTTTGTTGCATAACGCTATCTAAACTGCTTTCTCTCGTGGTGTGTTTTGCCAAATAAGCACTTGGGAAAATGGTCTTCCGTTTACAAAGTGGAACATTTCACCCTTTGGATCAATTTTCTTCTTCCTACTTTTCAGATAGGAAAAAAGACCTTGTTTTTCTAGTATTGTACTGTGGATACTAAGTTTCACAAGCCAAAAAACTCAGTTTTATAAGAGACTACAGTCACTTTCTAGAGCTGACCCTCTGGATCTGCTCTCCCTCGATGTGATGGGAGAATGTGTCACTTAGTCTCCAGGAAGTCACCCTGTTGCTTCCACAAGGATGTGGCCTGGTTCCCGCTGCCTGAGTGGCTCCTGGTGTCCACTCAATGCCATATAGGCGCCCTAAGGAGCAGCGGTCTGCAGCCCTCCCCTGCTCCGTAGCTGAATTTCAATAGACAGCTTTGGGGATGCCTAAGCTTAGCTTTTTACTGACCGAATATTCAGAATCTTAGAGGGTGGGACATAGGCATGGGGGTACTGGTGTTTTTTAAGTTTAACCACACCAGGCTTAGACACTGTCAGACAAGATTTTCTCAAGATTTCTCCTTCCTCTTCTCCCTGAGGAGGCATTTATGTTCCTTGGAGATGAGAGAGAAACTGGCGGGGAAGGGAGTCTCCTCTGTGGCCTTCTCTCCATGCATTGGCTGCATCGGAACCCAAGCTCGAAAATCCCCCTTGATATGACCGCTGGAGCCCTCGGGACACCAGACCTTTTCGTAGACCCAGGGAGGGCTTAGTGGCTCTGCCACATGTCAGTGGGCTGTGCAAGAGTGAGGCCCCTGAGGACGGGGAGTGGGGAGCGTAGGGGGAGTGTAGAACAAGAGGGAAGAGTCTGCAGAGCCAGGAGTGAGTTCTCTGGTGCTGTTGGGGGGGCCTCCACAGGCCCTAGGGAGGCCCCAGGCAGTGGGAGACTCAGGAGCAATCCTGCAGCCCCCTCTCTGCCTCTGACACGCCCACACAGCCAGGAGTGGTGAGCGAGAGGTAGGACCGGGCTCCCAGATGCTCCCCTTCTGTAGCCTCCCCGGCTGCTGCTGCCATTCCTCCACAATTAGAAAAGAAGTGAAAGAAAAATGGGTCCCCTCATCATACACTTGTCCAAGTCTGTTCTTTCCTATAACTGGACCAAAGCTTTGGACCTCATAGCCAAGAATGTGAACCCTTTGGTGCTTGGGTCCCCCATAAGAGCTTCCCTAAAGTAAAGGTGCCTCCATTCCAGCTCCCCAAATGAGAAAGCACCATAACATAAGAAAACCGGCCCCACATCCCTACAAACATGGTGCTAGGAGGGGCCCAGAGTTGGCAGCTGTGACACTGCAGCCAGTCTACAGACTTCAGCAGCCGTCCTCACGCCCACCCCCACCCCTGACCCCTTCCCCAGGCTCAGAGGCTGTCGGTGGGCTGTAGGTGGGCTGCAGGCCTGCCAGGCCCTTCTGCTCTCCATTCAAGGCAGAGGAAAGTGGACAGAAGATGACACCAGAACAGAGGATCAACAGTTGGTTACAAACTCACCTAACTCGGGACAAGACAAGAAGGGGAGTTTGCTGTCCAGACTCCATGAAAGCCGCTGACAGATTCGAGTCTCCCCTGTTAGCACAAGGGACATAAGTGAACGACTCTTAGAGATGACAAAGAATTTCTCATCAAATCATGTTTCCCATTTCTATTATGAATAAAAATGCTATGAACATTCTTGTACAAGTCTTTGTGTTGACATGAATTTCATTTCTCTTAACACGGCTTCCTTAATTTTGCAATGTATTGCTTTGGTGCTGTTTTTATATAAACATGATTTAATGCAAAACAATTTTATAATAAAAATAAATCCCTGACTCCCCTATTGGAAATAAAATGAATTTGGGGTAGGAAAATGATTTTTAGCATGCCTCCACTCATAGTAGAAACATAATTCACAAGTATACCACCCAATGGTAACTGGCAGAGGCCTGGGGTCAGAGAGGCTGGGAATGGGTGGGTGCTGTAACAAAAAAAAGGCGGGGTACATACATGCCTTGCTAAGGGGCAGCTGCAATTCCCCTTCAGCCAGTTCACCATGCACACCTGATTTTGCCAAATCTTCCAATTTTCCAAGAGAAGACAGATTTGGGGGGGTTATATGTATGAAATCTGCTAAATTTAAAGGTCAGCCAATTTAAAAAAAAAAAAAAAAACACAGAAGCCCTGGTTGGATTGCTCTGTCCGACAGCGGACAGAGCAGCAAGATAAAACACGAGTGCGGGCCAGGACAGGCTCCAGGCCCGCTGGTCCGATCTGGGTTACCAGCAAGACGACCTTTTAGCTTTTCAAAAAACGCAGCACGCTGCGCCCTGTCTGGGACTGTGATGGACTAGGTCAGGAGTGAGTCCCAGGCGCCCGCATGTATTTTTTAAATGCCTGGCTTCCTTGGGTTTCACAGTCAGGGTGAAGAAGCAGGAAATTAAACTTCAAGTTTCATCACATTTCCCAATGTCAACACCTGTTGAAACCACTCTCGCGCCGTCTCAGGCTGTCTAGCTGATTCTGAGCTTGACCGGACACGTAGATATTAGCAAACTAAGGCCGGTGACGGGACACAGCAAAAACTGGGTCCGTGGCGGCGTCAGCTTTGTCTCTAATTAACCCAAATGGCATCCCGCTGGGGCTTTTCTGTGTACTCTCTGACGACATTATAACAGCTGGCCCTTCTGGAACCAACTCCACTCTCAGCCACAGGTGCTCACAGGGGAGCTGACAGGAATTTCTTACTCACACACGGGCCAACCACTGGAATAAAAGCCTCTCTCCAAACTAGGGAGACGATGAGGAAACCAGGGAGGCCGGTCAAAGAAGCTGTCCGCACCTTTACAGGTCATTTAGCAGAAGACAAAGATGTGAGACAAGGCCAGGGTCGTGGGGACACTGCATTCCTAGCGTGGACTCTGGCCCGGTGGGTAAACAAGCCGGGGAGGGAAGGTGCTGGGCAGGAACCAGTCTCAAATTCTTTCCAACGAGCTCCTGAGAGCCCAAGACAAATGGGTCTTTTTGACAAATGGAGACAACAAGCAACCGGATCCTCTCGTGGTTTGCATGCCGAGCCTGTAACTTGCATTTCATGACAAGCAAATGAAGAAAAATTGGAAATAATCATGAAATGGGGGGTGGGGGGGCATGACCGCAGCACTGGCTGCAGGCGAGAGGACTGCAGGGCGGGCGCCGCCGCGGGCCTGGAAGCCTGAACGTCGGGCCAGAGGACATGGCGACGACACACACGGAGGCCACGGATGAAGACACGTCCACGGCTGAGATCGTCCTCACCCTGACGGTGTCCGGCCTCGAGTGCATCACCGGCGTCCTGGGGAACGGCCTCATCACGGCCCTCCTCGGGGCCCAGTGGGCAAGCGGCAAACGCCCCCCGGTCGGCGACCACATTCTGCTCCTGCTGAGCTGCTCCAGGCTCGTGCTGCAGATCTGGATGATGCTGGAGAGTGTTTACAGCCTCCTCCTCCGGGTCACTTACAGCAGGAACGCCGTGTACGTGCTCTTCAAGGTCGTTCTCATGTTCCTGAACTTCTTCAACCTCTGGCTGGCCGCCTGGCTCAACGTCTTCTACTGTGTGAGAATCGCCAACTTCACCCAACCCTGGTTCTCCGTGATGAGGCGGAAAATCGGGGCGCTGATGCCCTGGTTCCTGGGGCTGTCCCTGCTCGTCTCCCTGGGCTGCAGCTTCACCTTCGCTAGCGACACCTTCTACGTGTACGTCAACACTTCCACTCCCATCCCCGCCGGGAGCAGCAACACCACTGAGCAGCCCGACCTCTCTGAGGCCCACGTGTACTTCTCTGACACCAACGTGGCCAACCTGGTCCTCCAGCTCCTCCTGGGGGTCTCCGTGCCTCTGGCCATGTTCATCCTCTCGGCCGCCCTGCTGATCGCCTCCCTCAGGCGACATGCACTCCGCATGCAGAGCCGCGCCACGGGCTCCGGGGACCCCAGCGCAGAGGCCCACGTGGGGGCCATCAAGGCCCTCAGCTCCTTTCTCGCGCTCTACATTCTCCACGCCGCGGCGCTCTTTCTGTCCATGTCCAACATCTTCGGCGCCAACGGCCCCTGGAGCGCCTTGTGCAAAGTGGTCGTGGCTGCCTACCCCGCTGGCCACTCAGTGCTGCTGATCCTGAGCAACCCTGGGCTGCGGAGGGCCTGGAAGCAGCTTCGGCACCAGCTTCATCTCCAGCTGAAAGGGCAGCCCCTGTGACCTCCCGCCCCGGGATGCCAGCTCCTGCCGGCTGTGTTTGTCCTGGCCCAGATTTCGCTCCTCACCATTCTCTCCTCCCCTCGTCCTGCGCCAGCCCTCTTCCCCAAGTAACCGGCTCCCTGTCAAACTGAAATTAAATGTTTAACTCGGGATTCTTTTTTTTTTTTTTTTTAATCTTAAATTTTATTTTTATATTCCCCCATACAATTGCAAACGCCCCATTCTGACCCCAATCCTTCCCCTCCCGCCCCCCACCCCCCAAAATGTGTCTCTGGTTCATAGTTTTTTGTTGATTTTGATTCCATATGATCCAGCAATTCCACTCCTAGGTATTTACCCAAAGGACACAGAAACATCAATTCCAAAGAGCACCTGCACCCCTATGTTTATAGCAGCACTGTTTACAATAGCTAAGCTTTGGAAACAACCCAAATGCCCAAAAGTAGATGACTGGATCAAGAAGATGTGGTACATATCCACCATGGAATATTACTCAGCATTCAAAACAGATAAACACATGCAATTTGCAGCAACATGGATGGCGCTGGAAGGGATCATGCTCAGCGAAATAAGCCAAAAAGAAAAAGAAAAATACCGGATGGTCTCACTCATAGCAGGAATCTAGAAAACTTAAATAAGGGACCAGGAAAATGAATATAAGAAAGTGAAAATAACTCGGGATTCTTAGAAGCAGCAGCTAATGGGCAACTGCAATGGATGTGTGAGCACTTCTTGATCTGTCACCCACACCCTGCCCTCCAGCTCCCTGCACCTCCTCCTCCCCCAGTCTCCGCCACCCCTTGGAAGGTTGGCTCGGGGCCCCTTGCCAGGAGCGCCCATCAGTTCTCACAGATCAATCAGCCTGGGGGGGGGGGGAGGATAGAACCACCCTACAAAGGCACCTCCCAACCCACAACTGCACAGTCCAGGCAGCAGAAGGGACAGAAGAGCACCTACAAGAGATGGGCTGAGGGCAGAAAGGCTACCCCTCTCTCTCCCCCATCTCCCGCCTCCCCCCTCTCTCTGCCTCTCTCTCCCCTACATCCCTTTATAGTTGCAATAGCTTGGGACTGACTTACCTAGGAAGGACATTATTTGTGATATCACAGCATTTTAACAGTTTTCCCCGGGGGGTATTTATTTATAGGACTATTTAAGGTTGATAAAATATGACAACTTAGATTTTGAGGTTTTATCCTAATTCCTAAAGATTAGAGAAACACGCTTTTTCCAAACCACACGTGCATATGCTACGAGGACTCAGATGGTGACAAAGGCAGACAGGAAAGTGGTGTGAAGACCCCGTCAGCAATGCGAGCGCCGGGGCAGCCGAGGCGGCCCCCTGTCCGTGCTGACTGTGAGGAAAGCATGCGTCCCTGTTGCCAAGAACCGAAAGGGGCAGCAAGGTAAAGAGCTTACAGGACGACCACATCCTCCCCTGTGCTATCTCCTGCCCGCCTTCAACGGGCTGGAGTTTCCCAGCCTGCCCCTCTCTCCTCCTACCCGCTCCCTCTTTCCTTCCTTTTTCTTCCTGCAAAACCATGTAAGCTTCCAGAACACCCTGTCTTTGAACTGGTTGGCTTTAGGCAGCTGCCTTGGAACTAGAAAGTAAAGAACCGGGGTTTTCCTGTATTAAGGTACTAAGGAGTCCATGCTGCAAACTCAACATGCCTGCCCTGTCCCCTGGGAGAGCCAAGGTTCCTTTCCCACAACGTCACTCTGGACAACCCCCCTGGCCCATGCCCCCCCCCAAGTGGAGCAGCTAAGGGGAGGGGGTCACCACAGGACTCCAATCTAGAAAGCCAGGGACAGGCAGGGGGTGTTCGGGCCTAGTCCAGTCCTCAGAGATGACTGAGCAGGCAAGCAGCCAGGGTGCGTTTCAGGGCTGGGATTTGAGGGGCACCAGAGGGTCCCACCGTACAACACAATCTCCCCCTCCCCACCCCCTGGGTGGCTGCTAGATTCCACTGCGGTCCCTGCTTTCCTTGAGCTTGCTAGGCAGGAATTCTCTTTTTTCTCCCAGGCATCCTAAGGAAAAGAAACTCTAAGGTCTTTTCCAAGAGTCAGTCTTAAGCTGGGGTGGGAGGGGCAGAAAAATCAGAAGCAATCCTGGCAGAAGAGATGGGGGAGGGCAGGGGCCTGACACAGATTCCTGTTCCCCCTTCTGCAAAGCGAATCCTTAGAGGAGAAGGGAATTTCTTACTCACACTTATTTGTGGGATGAGAAGGGAGGATGAAGAGGCTGAGGAGCCTTCCTCCATGTTGGGGGCCTGGGAGAGCTCCCTGGACCCCTCCTCTGGCTATGGCAGAGGGGATGAAGATGCCCCACTGGAGAGGGAGAGTGGAGGGAATGTCCTCTGGGGAGAGGCAGCCCTATGGCAAAGGAAGACGGATGGAGCCTGGGGCTGACCCAGGAAGGGCAGGCCTGGGCAGAAAGCAGCCGCAGGCAGCACAACAGGTGTGGGCTGAGGGTGGCACAGACACAGCCGCAGCTGAGCAGCCAGCCGAGGGCAGGGAGGCGTGAAGGTGGGGTGAGCTGGAGGCGGACTCAGCTGGTCTCATTTTGGAGAAGCTCCCCACTCGCAGCTCCTGCCTGGGCTTGGGCATTACCCAAGCCACAGAGCAAGGCTCCCAAGAACTCTGCAGAGGAACATTTCTGGGTGGGACCCTGCATAGTTCAGGGTGCAGTGGTGCACCCTGTGGGGTCAGCCAATCGCCAGTCTCATGGGGAGAAAAAGATCGTTTACAATGTGTTTTCTTGACTCTCAGTTTCCCTGACTGTTTTACTAACGTGTCCACGGAGCCTCTCCATTCTGTCAGGAGAAAAGTGGGTTTTGAAGACAGTCCAAAGAGAAAATTAAGGAATCCACAATCTCTGCATTTGGGTGAGGCAGCAGCAGTGAGAGGGTCCCAGGTGGAAGATCAATGGATAAATCCTCACTGGCCCCTCAGGCCACCACCCCCACTTTCCCCCACTCCAGGCTTCGTGGGCCATGCCCCCCCCCCCCCGCCAGGCAGTCCCAGTTAGCCTGGATCCGCTCTGCTCCTCACTGGTGTGTGACACGCCGCATGTTATCATATCTCTCCGAACCTCAGTTTCTGTGTCTGCAAAGTGGGAATAATCACAATACCTACCTTGGCAGCCATGGGATGGAAATGTGCCTACCAAAATGGATTTGAGGATACCACCCCCAAAGCCATTCACTCCATGACAATGAGTAAGAACTCCTCAAACTACAAATCGCCACACAAAGATGAGTGTAATTATTCATTCAACAAACACACACTGAGCATATAGACTATGCATCGAACACACAGATCCACCCAACACAGCCCCCCACTTCAAGATGCACTCGAAGGCTGGGGCAGAACAATGTACTAATAGCAATGTGGGCGCCATTTACTAGGAGGTCAGGAATGTACCACGAAACTCAAATGTTCACAACTACAAGTCACCCCTCCTCCAAAAAATACTGTATATCCTGCTCTTGCTGTCCTTCTGCAGCGCGAGAGGGAAACTTGGGACAGACTCCTCTCTGTCTCACTGGGCCAGTTAGAAAAGATGGGGGCCGAGAGAAGAAATGTTCCATGGAACATCCTTAGATCCCACAGGGCCCAAGGATGCAAAAAAGAAAGGCTTCCATTACATGCCACTGCCCTAGGGAAAACTGCTGTTTGCATCTCTTGCCTAGAGTCCTCCGGGACTGCAAGTAAGTCCTCGGTTTATTCAAACCAGATGTAGGGTGATGAATGATGGCCGGAGGCCCTGAGAGCAGCTGGGGCTGAGCGGTGGAAATGCTCAGCAAGGAGAGGTGGCGAGTGACTCTGGAAGTCTGGAGACCCCAGGGGATCCCTGTGTGGCTTCCTCTGTCATCGCCCTTGGGAGAGGACCAACATTCACATTCTACCCATCAATAGTCATCCGCGAGGACAGCATGCCTGCCTTTGGATTCAAAGGCCCAGAAAAAATGCCTGGGAAAACACTTCCAGGCACCTGGAGGCCATGTCTATGTGAGGCCCTGCAGCCATCCACTGACCTATCCTTACAGCCATGGCCAGGCCCCCAAGGAACAAGGGTGTATCTGTCTGGGGGAGCCTACGAGAGAAGTACCCTTTGCTGGGATTACAGGTAAGAGGGACCGTGATTTAACTCCTACCTCCACTCCTCCACTCCCCACCCCACCCCCATTCCCTGCCTGAGCATAGGCCTCGCCCAGATTCCACTCTCCGCATCAGCAGGTCCTAGGGGCCAGGTGCTCTGGGAGTGGGTGGCGAGAGTCATGGGGCGTGGGTAAGGTCAACCATAAAGTGGGAGAGCTGCAGGAAAGGAGAGGCGGTGTCACTCTGTGGGACCTAGCTGAGGTGTCTGAGCACATGGGCATTGCGCGGAAAACCTTGGAGGATAAATCCCAAAATCCAAGCCGCAGACCCAATAGAATCTGGGGGTCTGCTCTGCACGCTCCCTGACACAGCCTTTGACAAAAGGAAAACATCTATCATCACCATGGAGGCCTCTAACTCATCCGTCCTCGAAACCCGTGGCCCCAGACCTCAGGCACAGGATGGCAGAGCAGATGGCAGGTGGCATCGGTCCGTCAATCAACGCATGAGGGTGACAAGATGAGCAAGCAGGGGGAGACTCTAGCCCTGGAAGTACATTAAGTGAGCTATGTGTTTGTTTTATGTTTGTTTTTGACGAAGAGTTGTTCTGCCTTGTGTGAGAGTGAGCTTAAGACGTATGTTAATGGTAATGCTTAAAATAGTAATATTCCTCTGAGCTCCTGTTTTCTGAATATTGGTAATGAAAACGAAGGTCTTCTCCCAATTGGGAGTGTGCATGTGTGTGTGTGTGCGTGTGTGTGCACGTGCACATGCAAAAGCATTTTAAAAGCTGAGACAACTTCTTGCCCTGCTCATTCTCATCTATGATTCAACCCCCTTCATGCTGGCATTCGTGTGTTTTTTCTCTGCGTTTTAGCTCTTCCAGCTCCACTTTGCCC